AATCGGAAGTCGTATCGAGATAAATCAAAGAATATTTTAAAGGATAAGGTTTTGTGCTTTCAATGATCATTCATTTATTGATATCGAGAAGTTATTATTTTCGAAGTTATATATATTTTAATCAAGTTTCAAGATAAAAATAGATAATATCTATTTCTGGAAAAATATTACTTGTAATATTGTACGATCTTATTAATGATAATTGAAGATAATCTAAATTGATTTAAAATTTATGTTTAATCTTGTTTTTGAAATAAGTTGAATTATTTAATCAATCTGATACGAGTTTAATATTAATTAATTGATTTTTATGAATATTTCTTCCTTTTTTTTTTTTTTATATGAAATAAATTAATGATCATGTATCTTTGATATAATAAAATTGAAAATGAACTGGTTAACATTTGCTGAAGTTATAAAATATTCATGATACGAAACAGGCTCGTAAAAGTATCAAAATGGCGTTAATTATACATACGTTATTCTACATTAATATTAGGTTATCCGGAAATTAATTACGGCAATATAATATAATATGGAAATGAACTTAAAATAAACTCATTTAATAAAAAAAAAAAAAAAAAAAAAAAGAAGGAAAAAAAACCAACATAATTTACCACCAACTTTTTAAAGATTCTTCATCCTATCTTATTCCTTTAATAAACCAATCTCCAATGAAGTTTAATAATCCGATTGTACGATTATTAATACACTGAACAAATTAATTTAATAAAATTTGAAACTTAAAACTTTCGCAATAATATCGCGATTAGCGCTTATTACCATTTAATTCCTCCCTCCCCCTTTTCTCTACACCACCAATCTTCTCTTCTTCAAACCACAAGTCAACCCCGATCGAACATCTTCCTCCTCCCCTCCCCTCTCTTCCTCGTTTTCCTCGACCCTCGGAGACGAAATTCTCGGGGCGGGTCGCGTCTTAATTTTTGCCACTCGATTACACGAGGGGTGTTGCTCTCGCGATCGCGGGGGTTCAATTTCACGGCGTGGCGAGCCGTGCAACACGGCGAAACGACACGTGACCCAGTTAACCCGCTCGTTTCCCGGCGCATCGACCCGAGCGAGCGTTTATTAAGGGTGGCAAAAGGGCGCGAGAGTCACAGAGTGGATGGGAGGGGCCGGCCGTCGCGAGGGAGGGTAAACGTCCCTTAATTAAGTTGTCTAGCACGCCAGACCAATTCGTCGAAGCTTCTTTATAGAGAGAGAGAGAGAGAGAGAGAGAGAAAAGAAAGAGAAAGAAAGAGAGAGAGAAGGGTTCCTGATGCGAAATCGATGTCGCGATGCCTCTTCTCTCCGCGGAAGAGGACATCGCGTGTTTTCTCCCTCCTCCTCCTCCTCTTCCTTCTCTCCTTCGTTCCCTCGTTTCTTGTTCTTACCTCTTCTTTTTTTCTTCCTTCTCTATTTTTCCGTCTTCCCTTCTCGAGGGAGATGTTCAATAAAAATTCCTGGAGAGCCTCGACCGGCAGGAAATGTCGTCGGTGGGGCACGTCGTGTGCACGTCGAGTCCTTCTCGCGGAATCGAAGCGAAATTCCGTGGGACGTTCGAAAACGAGGATTGGAGGGAGGGTAGAGGGTGGAGGCAGGGGGACGACCAGACGACGGGACGCCTTTTTAAATTCCCCGCATAGCGGACATAGAGGGAGGACGATATCTCGGGGATGATGAAGGTTGTTCAGTTCGAGGGAGGGTTGGAACGAATTGGTGGAACACGCTCGATGGAAGGCTAATACTACATTTGCCCGTGCAAATATCGTTTATCAAGTGATAATTTCTGCGGCTGGTAAATGACGAGAGAGTTGAGAGGGTTCTACGTTGAATTTGTTTGGCGACGCGTTTGCTTGGGAAATTGGGGGTTTTCGGGAAAAAAACTTGATGATCGTTCCATAGGATTTTCAGGGATTTGAATTATAATGAATTATATAGCGAAGAACGTTTTAAGAAATATCGAGTGTTATTCGGAAATAGACTATTCTCGAGGATGGGATAAGATCCTGTTCTAAAAATATTCGAATCTTTAATCTAGGGATCCCTAGAATTTTAGACAGGGATCTTTTATATACAAAATCGAATATAAACGGAATCTTACGAAGTGGAAAATTTTTCGTTCGATAATCTGCAACCTGTTTGGTATAAAATTTAGGGGATGGGCAGGATGAGGTGGGAAAAATGAATAACTGTAAAGCATTTCGGACGGTGTATAGGACGAGGGTGAAACCGGCGTTGTAAATAACATCGTCGAAACGAGTCGGGAGGATTTATCGTGTCAATTTTTCGCCGGAGGCGAAAGGCATTCGTTTTATTTCCGTAATAATGGCGACTGGAGATTCCTTGGACAATAAGAGAAGACTTCCCTTTCTAAGGGAAAATATATCGCGTTTATTTTGAACCGAATTGATCGAATCAACTGTAACAATGCGAAAATAGAGAAATCTCTTTAACCTCGGATCCCCTACTATCCATTATTTTAAATTTCATTCCATTTTCAAGAATTTACTCCATCATCAATAATCATAACATTGGAATTCTTCCAATCTAATTATTCCATCGATCGTCATTTTTCAAATGATACGAAATACGATGATAAACATTTACAAGTATCGAGTATACACAATTAATATATCCTCGGCACGAAATAGAATAGACACAAATCGAAAATATTTCAAACTTGATCAATATATATATAATAAAACGGATGAAATTACAACGATAACAAACCGAAAAGAATCCTACTACACCTAATTAATTTCGATCGACACCATCTGTTTAAAATCTATACAAATTTGAAGCGCGAATGATGCACGTTGAACTCGATCGATGCATACCTTGGCGTTGGACCGTGCGAGATCCTTGAGCGGCGGCGTTCAAGGAATTTCCATCGAAGGGTGCCTTTGCCGAGGTGTCGCGAATTACTTCCATCGCGGAATTTTCATCTCGGCCCCCGCCGAGTCAGCTGCCAGTCCGCATAATTTCCATTCCTCCGTTTGTTTAATTACGCCTCGCCACCTCGAGCATTATCGAGGCAGGGCCAACGACGATCAACGAAAGGAAAGAACTTCTTCTTCTCCCGGATGCTTGGGCGAGTGAAGCCCTTGTCAAAGGCGTCTTTGACAATTCCAAACCCGTTCCAAAGGAGGATATTGCGGGGAGAAGTTGGGCGAGGATCGGTAATGGAATTGGAACTCTAGGCCCTAGAGGATCGATTGCGATTTCGAGGTTTTGAATCCTAGGAGGGGAAGTGCACGTTCAACCATTGAATATTTATATGCTCGTTAATGCAGCATATCTAAATCTCTGAGGAATCTTAGCCGATTACCATAATTATGATTGTTAAGTTTAAACGATAATTGATCCAAGATTGAATTTTCTGCTTGATCCAAGAGTTAAATAGAAATAAAAAAAAGTACATACAAGTTCGTTTAATCAACGTTTCCCTATTTATCTTTTCTAACCTCGTAATAAAGATATACCTGGTTAATTAGAAAAGAAAAAGGGAAATTCAGTTTAATTAAATTCCAAAATTTAAAATCTAATCAGAGAAATCTGAAGCTAAACTTTTACAAATGTAAGGATATACGAAATGGAATGCACGATTTTAGAATTTTTCAAATGAAATATTTTTCTACGAATTAAACGGTACCTCGATATCGAGCGTATTAATATAATTTTTTCAATAAGAAAACACTTCATCTCTATTCTCTCTCCATCTTCACAATTTATTCGGAAATACACGTATAAAAATATTAACTTTACCACAAATATTACACCTTCAAATCCAAATGATACATCCAATCGATCGAATTACACGTGAATCCACCTCGTACACGAGAAACGAAAAAACGAAGACGAAAGGATAGTTTCGAGGGGAGAACAGATTGTTGAACGTCGCCTCGGTTTAAGCCGGTTTTCATGACAGAGGACGCGCATTAGCGGGTGTTAATGTTACGCAAGGTGGAAACGGGAAGTGGAACTCGATGTATCGCCCGAGGTAGCGAGGTTTAAAACTAAACGCAGTTAAATCGAGTGTGTGTGTATGTTGCAGGTATTGTTCTAACGCTACGACTTCGATCCTTTCGTTATTCGAGAAGACGAGATATCTGAGAAAGGAATGTCATTTCCGCGAGATATTGATGGACGATTCTTAACTTTAGAATCCAAACTACCCGATTCGATTTTCGTTCGAATCGTTGGGATATTCTGAAGTTATGGTGAAAAGAACATTGATTGACGAGATATCTTTCGTTTTGAAGAAGAAGAGATTCGAGAGACTGTTGTGATCGACTGTACTTTTCCATTCGAAAGAAAATTATTCCAGTTTTAAATCCGTTCTCTCTATCGGCGCTTTTTCTGCTTTGGTGCTTTGTAGCTCGATTATAAAAGAAATTTTGAATCCGTTTTAAAAATTGAATTATGAACTTATTATGAATGTAAATTAATTTATCTTTTTTCCCCCGTTTTAGATTTAAATTTAAATATTTTTAAATCACGATGTAAAAGTAATATTTAATTTTAAAAATAGAAAAGAGAAAAATTTAAAATTAATTTCATGATAATTAATAATAATTGAGATTCACGAATGAAATTTTTTTATTTTTCCTCTAAAAATTGTAAACATTTAGAAAGTGTTTGTTTGTGTCCAATAAAATTGCATAGAAATATTTATAATTTATAACAGGAAATCATTACAATATTCCTGGAAAATTACTTATCCGACAAACTTCTTCAAATCACAAACATTTCCAATCTCTCTTTCATCTTCATAAAACGAACAATACCCGACTGAAAAGATCCTTTGTTCCCCAACTTTCGGATGAATTTCGACTTGATTAAATTCACCTTCATCTTTCCTCGAGACTTACCCACGAATTTCAAGCCACGAATTTCCGGGAAAATTGTACAGAGTGTCTAAACTTGACTTAATCATTACTCAAAACCAGCTGATAAAGTTTCAACATAACGTAATATAATTCCCTCTTGTGTTACAGATTTCTGCCAGCCTCGTCCCGTCCACCTCTACTTCCTGTAGCCAGGTGAGTGACGTTAATCACTTGGATGAATATCATAACATATATTACATCTCGTAGAAAATTATCTTCCTTATCTAAACAATTTTAAAAACGAGATATAATTATTAAATTAAAATATGTACACAGATATCTCTTCTGCAAATATGTGTCGAGATATAATTAATAAAATAAACACGTCGTTCCCATGATACTGTTGACACTATTGTAATGTTTTTGTCTTCTGATTCTGTTGTCACGTATATTTAAGAAGAAACATAAGAAACGAGAGAGGAATATTTACAAGATTATTACAAGAGGATTATTATTGTGTCGACGTGTCGACGAACGTGTTTAAACTTCTGAGAAAGGAATTTCATCCGTAACCAAAGCATAATTAATATTATTGTTATCGATTGAGAGTGTTTATTATCGATCTGCTGTTTCCAATGTGAAAGATAAAAGAAAAAAAAAAAAAAACTTGTACTTTCGCGGGAGAGAAATTTAACAGATGATGCTCGTTGAACGCAGATAGTCGAAGGCAATTAGACAGCTGTCAAACACGAGGTAAAATTTCTACGCGAATGGAAAGCGGTTCATGCTGGAAACTGCGTAAACTCGGAATATTATTTACTCGACAAACTGCTTTCGGTAGCTTTCGTCCCTCGTGCACGCGCAGTCCCGCGCAAACACGACTTCTTAATATTCCGTTTGTCTTCGTCCGTCAGACAACTTTGCCCTCGGCAAGTTGCAGGCAAGTCGTTTTTTTTTTTTTTTTTTATATATATCTCCGATTCGATATTAGTTTCTGATGATAATATTTCCCACTCACGCTTATCCTCGATAAAAGATGAAAAGATTTTTTTTAAAAGAGTTTGAAGAACCGTCTTATTCAAAGAAATGTATATGGAATATCTATGAAACATCTCAATCCGTTTTCGAAAGATACGAAAGAAGTGAGTAGGGAAAAATCGAAGTTAGAAGAAGATCGAGGAAAAGAAACGACGCGCAATATTTTTTATTGTGCAATTGATGCAAATTTTAAAAATTGCATCGAGAAAATTTTATTCGAAAGTCAAAAAAAAAAAATGCATGGAATATTTATATAAATATTTCAATCCGTTTTTCAAAGATACAAAAGAAGTAAATAGAGAAAAATTAAAGCAACTTTTCAAAGAAAATTTTTCTCTATCAATTAACAACGTCTATCACAATTATGTATCCTTAAAAATTAAATATAAAATCTAAACAAAATCTACGCGTTACATCAATATATAAAATTACAAATACGACAATTAATCGAGAGAGTCAAAGTCCTCGATCATTTCGAAATGGTGAAAGTAATCCATCCATTGGGAGGGAAAACAACGTCAAAGGGTCGAACGGGGAACGACAGACAGAGTTTCAGAAGGAAAATGCGTCAACATCTGTCACGTTTCATCGGAAAGGATGACACGACACGTTTCGCGCCGCGTATGAGAGGCGCAAAAGAGGAAACGAGAAAGAACGAGCGGGATGATTGCGTCTGGAATTGGTAGGGAGGGGTGAGGAGAGAGGGGTGGAGTCGGGGACAGTTAGAGAAATACCAGGGGAAAGCAATTTTTAACGATGCGTCACTCCCTTCTTTTCCTCTTCGAAACGCGCAATAACTCCGTGCCTGATGCAAAAATATCGAGGAATGCATCAAGACTCTTCTCTCTTTCGATCGAAACGAAGGGATTAAATTTATTGCATAAAATTGTATACGAAATTTCAGTAAGATATATATATATGATAAATACAGTACTCTAATTATAGAGTATCTTTCGAAGAAAGATAGAATATATTGATAGAATGTTCATTCTAATTTTGCTCGCTTATAAGAAGCCACTGATCGATTCAGAGAAAATGAGTTGAAGCAGGCACAGTGAATGTACATGTACATGAACGAAATCTAGAGTAAAAGGAGAACTCTTGAAAAACGAATCTAGTAGCCTACTTTCTTTTTCTTTTTTTGTAGTTTCCAAAACTTCTTCTCTCGCACGTATACAGAAAATTCAAGAAATAATCCCTACGATGCAGCATCCCTCGATTCAAAAATATGGAAAAGAATCGATACGTTTCTATCGAATTCCTCGAAATCGCATAGGAAAAATTCACTTTGCCATTCTCGCTACTCGTCCCTCAACGACGATCAATCAGTTTGCCTATTTTTCCTCTATCTCCCTCGCCCCAACCTCCTTTCAGCTTTCTTTCTTTCCAGATCCAACCGTTGGATCAACGTTATCTAGCTGTAGTGGCTAAAATAGCACAGGAAGTAATGGCGGTCGAAGGAAGAACGGCCGCGTGTCGCGATAAAAGCGAACGTGACGCTCGAAGAAATCACGATGCGACTTTCTCAAAATAGCAGAGTTCGAGAACGAGAACGAGGACGACGAAGATGGAGAGGGCGAGGTAACGACGAGGGTGGATACGACGAAGAATCCATCGAAGACTCGACCACGTGGTGTGTCGTTTTTTTCTCGATTAAAATGCGGGGTTAGAACAGTAAGAGGTGCGAAAGAGAATGATTGGGGAACGAAAAGTATTTCTATTTAGAGAAGAGAAAGTTAATGGAAGTTACAAGTACAAAAAAATCTTGGAAAGGAAATCCATCGAATTTCATAATATTCCTCGCGACTCGAAATTCGAATAAGATTACGTTTCTACGTTAGGATTAATTTCCAATTGATATTTTAACGTAAATTATTGTTATTATTATTATTCCAATTTTAATCTTTAGCACGAGGTTAAAGTTTAGAGACGCATGAAAATCATTAATTAGAGGTATCTCCAATGGGGAGATGGGTGAAAAGGAGATGCGGAAAGTTGGAATAAACCAACTACTCTCCATTTCCGGTTCAAAAGAGACAGGAATAAGGGGGCGCTCTAAAGGGGCGCGTTAAAAACTCGCGGGAAGAAAAGAGTAACGGGAAAAGCGGCGTGGGGAAAACGCGAAAGGAAGGCACGAAAGGCAGCGGCATCTCTAGAGGAAACGAAGGATAGAGAGAGGCGTGTAGGCCTCTGAATGAAAGAAAACCGAAAGAGGCGTGGAGGGAAAGAGGGAAGGGAAGGGTGAAAAGGAGCGTGAAGGCACGCAAGAAGGGGGGAGGGGTGGAAACGGGCAAAAAGCGAGGAGAGTCTGCATCACCTTGCATTCCACTTGACGGCACTTCTGCGTCGTCGCCCGCTACTTCTTTCTGCTCTCGGCTCGCGCACCCTCCCTCCTCCACCTTCCTCTCTTTTCCGTGTCGCAACGACAGGAAGCCGGATCCGATGGGGGGAAGTTTCGAATCGAGTCCGGGTTTAAGCAGGCGCGGCGCGCATCGACGATCACGAAAAGATGATCTTTTGGCGCGGCGACGAGTTTTCTCGCGCTGCCGCCTCCCCAACGAATCGGCCACGCGGTTCTCACGCGCCTTTCGAACGCGAGCTTTATCAAATGATCCGATCCTTTCATGAAAATTTAACGAAACGCGACGACGATCTGCGTAGATTTTGCGAAAGGGGATACGGTTGTTATTTATGAGATGGAGAGTTATCGATTGAAACAGGATTGAAATGATTTTTCTCCGTGAATCGAGTATCAGTTTCATCTTTGAGAATTGAATTAAGAAAGTAATTAAAATGTTTATATATATATAAAATCCATCAAATAAATTAAATAATAAAATGGTATCATAAAACCAAAAATTTTCATTTATTTTTATTCAATCAATTTTTATATCAATCAAAAAAAAGAACATTTGATATATTAAAAGAGATATCAAAAAAAAAATACGTATCAAAAAATAATCATTGAATTCGATAAATTACGAAAAATTTCAATTATTATTAAATCCAAAAAAATCCCTTTTTATTTATATCTCGATGATATCGGAAAAAAAAAATATCAATCTACCAAACTATTCATTATTACCATCGATTCGTTAAAACGTAACGAATGATCGAAACCCAAACACAATCGTCTATCTGTTTCGAGCATCAATTCAATCTACCCGATTTCCTATTCTCCATCCCAAGAATCATCACGCTCAATTCAACATCGCACGGAAACGATCAAAACCGATTCAAATTACTCATTATCCATTCCACCTGTAAACGCGGATCCAATCCAACCACGATCCTTCTAACTTCCCTTGAAAAAAGAAGAAACCCCTTATTCCCTTCGAATAATCGAGAAATCGAGCAACGACCCACGCAGTAGCGCAACCCGACCATTCGCGCGACCCGCTGCTCCTCTTTGTAAACCGTGGGTGGCGCGAGGTGGAGGGAGGGGCTGACACGTCATCGAGCAGTCGGTCACGATCCCCGGGGGTGCGGTGAACCGGCGTTGCAACTGGCACGAAAACAAATCCGTTCGCCCTCCCTCCATTTTATGGTGAATTCCGTCGATGCACGACGAAATTAAGACGATTCGTGGCGTTATCAACGAGTCTGAAATCAGTTTCGTATCGTATCGTCGTCCAGGGGCCCGTCCTCCCCGTTGCTTGGGAAATCTGCAATGCGGAGACATTGCCGGGTCCGAGCACTCGGTTAAAAATTACGAGCTCGGGGTCGAAACGAAACTTTCTACGTTACATCTCCAAAATGGAAATCCGGAACCGTGAATGGAATCGCTCGTGGAGGAACTGTCTCCACGTCGAGTTTAAAAGTTACGCGGATCGAATACGCGGCCGAGTCGCGAAACGGAGAACGGTTTGGGGAAAAGATTTTGGGTGAGGAGTAAAGAGGAAGGGGGATTTATCGATGAAGATGGGTGTATTGGTAATTTGTCTGGAAGAAGTGGATAGATAGATTGTTTTGAGTAATAAATTAATGGGGATAACTTTATTTTTAAGTTCGTTTATGAAATATATCAAGTATAATTTTTTTCTTGTTTCAATTTATTATTTTCTTTTGAAGCGATATTGAGAAACGCTAGATCGAAAAAAAATGAGGCAAAAATCTAAGATTCTTTCCTAAAATATAACCACAGGAGATTATATAATTAAAATTGGGGAGATATTATTGTAACAGATATAAAGTTAGAAATGAAAGATGAAGTAAGATTTAACATTGGATGGGAGAATTTTAGAAAATATTTCAAAGTGTATGTGGGAACTATTAAAAAAAAAAACACTCGATTTAACAAGGTTGAGATGAGAGATTCATAAAGGTCAGGGTGAAAGATCAGTAAGCTTGGGAACATTGGATAGAAAAGTTGCTGTGGTGAAAAGTCAAGGTGATAAAACTCGTGAGAAGATCGAGGGCGCGAGTTCGAGATTAAGAAACTTTGATCTTGGTAAACTTTAACTTGACAGGTCGAAAAATTTACGAGTTTAAAATTTCTAAACGTAAACGTGTTGCTTTTGAAATTTTTAAACATTAAAAAAAAATCCTTAAAATTTTTTTTAATACCGAAAACTATCTTTCTTTTGAAATCTTAGAATCTAAAAATCTTTGCTCTCGAAGCAGTCTTCGATTTTAGAAGCATTATCTCACCTTAAAAATTAAACCGTGAGGTAATTCCAACGATCTTGAGCCCTGAAATCTCTGGAAAATATTTGCACTCGATAACACCCACCCACGCTTTGAGAAAGAATAAGGGGGATGTAATTGTTTATGATCAGATAATTTTTTACTTTCCTTAACGTCAGCTCTGTTATTTTTTACTACACATATTTTTATTACAAATTTATTATACATTTTGTACAAATGATGCCATATTATATTAAATGATATTAGGTAATAAATAAATATATTAATACTCGAAATTCTCGAAACTTTGACTCAGAAATTATACAGTTTAAGTTGCCAGTTTTAACGAAATATATTTATATATTTTCAGTCCGTAAATTAAACCGTTTTATTTCTAACATAATCGAGATTTAACAATATTCCTGCTTCCCTTTTTACGAACAATCGTGCGCATCTGTACACACGTCTGGAGAAATTTCACGCCGCGTCCTCATTGTGCGATTCTGCCACGATTTGTACATCTCGAGACAAACAGTTTGCATAATAATTCGATGCACGAGTTGGGAGCAATCGAAGGGAACGAACGATGTCTTTAGAAGCGTCTTGAAGGGTTGGCGCCAACACTGAGGGAAAACTTTACGAGCGAACTTATTCGAGAATTTTTCATTTCAAGAAAGGAGATTCGGTGTTGGAATTTACATGGAAATTGCGTGTAAAATCGTTTCTCCATATTTGTGAAATTTCCAAGTTCCAATTTTGTATGGATAAATTATTCTAGAAATTGGATCGTATCTATGGTTCGTTATATTTTATTGTTCGAAGCGGGTTAAAAATTTTTTCTTTTTTCTTTTTTTTTTTTTAATAATCATGGCATTTTATGTTGTTTCAAAAAGTTTTTTTTTAATAACATTGAACAATTTTCACCGTGTGTGCAAAAGAGCGTAATCGAATAAAGCTTTATTTGAATTTCAATAAAACAGAGGATGGAGTTTATTTGCTTTGTTACTTTGCATTTCTGTGTTTCGTGCCTTTGGGGATACGTGTCTGCTTTAAATTTAATCTACTATTAATACGAACCTCTACATATATAAAATATTAGATTACATATTATAAGTTAGGTAAGCATTCTATAGCATACTCTCACTAAATAGTGGAAAATTAAATTATTTATACTTATAACTTGGAGAATAAAATTATCCAATATTTCTCCTGCCTAACTTTACACCCAAACATTTTACCAAACTATCTAACATTTTACCAAACCAATATGCAAAATAAGAAAGAAAATACATATTTCATACGTGAAATAAAAATTTCTATCTAAATTTTCCTTTTAAATCTTTCCCAAAAGAACAAGATCCAAGTTGTCCAAAAATTTCATATCCTTAATTTTATCCAAATATCAATTCATCGCGCGGACAAATAATCGAATTCATAGAATTATAATAATATATATATAATAAAAAAAATTCAAGCAACAAACTCGATTATTCGACAAAAACTTGGAGATTAATCGAACAGAGGAGAAATTTGTCAGAGATATCAAGTTACCGTCACAAATGAAGCGAGCTTCTTCTGAAAGTACAAAACCGTGCTACTCTTTTTTTTTTTTTTTTTTTACCTCGATTTCCTCGTTCGGTCACGCATTAGCCTAATAAGATTCGCAGACGAGCTGCCGTCGCCGCCGCCGTCGCATTCTTCCGGATGAAATTCCTTCCGTCTTTTGGAATCGTGGACAAGTGGAAGACTCTTCGTAACGATCCACCCCTTCGCTCGGTCGGTAACTCTTCGAGTTTTAAAAGTCGATAACAAGTTGGTTGCAACCGGGAGAGTGGCTCGGATCGTTCCTTTCTTCCCTCCCTTCCTCTCTCCCTCCACCCGCCAAAGTTTCAAAGTTAATCGTCCTTTTCTGAATGTAGCAAGAGGACTCGGTTTTGCTCGAGCTTGGAGCAAGATAATCTCAAACGGATAACAGGAACGGATGATTAAGAGTGTTATTGATAAACGTAAGAATATTGCAAATATAGAAGAATTCTTAAAAAATTCTAAGGACTTTTAAGTATTTTCCGTGCAGACTAATTTAAATTTACACTATTTGAAAATTTTCGAACAAGATATCATTTTATTTTGAACGGAGAAGACGATAAGTGAATTTTAAACGCGAGGAACCTTTTTAAGAAGACGTGTAAGTAGAATATGTGAGAATATTTGCTCTGGCATTGTAAAATAAAAATAATACGAAACATATGGAACAAAAGATGGATCCTTGACGATGAAATCAATTTTAAAAAGCAAAGGAACAAGAAAAAAAATCCTCCAAAATATTCCAAGCTGTAAGATGTTATAAAACTGAAATAAAAAAAAAAAAAAAAAAAATAGAATCCCTTAATGTAAAAAGAAGATATAACCAATAAAATATTCGAGACACGAAATAGCCAAGGAATATTCCGAATGTAAGGTATCCGAAGAATATTCTAAGTGTAGGATATTGTAAAACTGGAGCATCGAAAGCGGTAACATCGAATATTCCAAGCGTGCAGAATCATCCAAGACACAAAATATTCCAGAGATGTATTCTCCATACACACACACACGCACATTGAACCGCTACCTTAATCCGCATAATATCAATTCCACCGTCATAAACTGCATCAAAGCATCGAGCAACTATGATCGTAAATCCATCCATAATAATTTTAAGCGGATCGCTCATCTCTCATTCACGGTGCACACAGTCCGCGAGATATACAACGGGGCCCTCCACTCTTCTCACAATTCTCCAGAACACGGTTGAGCAACGTGATTACATAGGGAAAAATGCTTGGAGGACATCCAGTGGGATCGTGGATCGAATATAGAATGGGCGGGATCCGTTTTATGTTTACGTGCCGATCGGGATTAAAATCGAAACGCCAGCGGAACTTGTTATTAATTTTGGAACCGGCCAATTCCAAACTGTTTCCGCGATTCCGCGGGGCTTTAGGCCGATTATAGGGCGACGGATTCGAATTAATTAGCGCGATACGCTACGAAACTTTGTACGATCCCCTTTTCGAAGTCGAATATAATTCGGTTTAAATCCTTGGAAATTGGTATTAGAATTGAAGGGCTTATTTATTCCTGGGAAAATGTTTAATTATTTTAT